GCCAGGGGACTTGCAATGACCCCAGCCAGTTCCCTTAGGACTCTAGGGTGAAGATCGTCCGGGCCGGCTGACTTAAAAACGTCCAGCCCCTCCAGAAGCTCATCACTCATCAAAGAGGACAAAAACATTTATTTAAGCTCCTGCCATGCCAACACATATTGATTTAGATGTGGTTATTGTCAGTGTTCCTCCCTTTATGAGAAGGACGTGTACTTCATTGATGCTCAGGTGTGGTGTTCTTCTCTGCCTTTAATACCTTTTGAATTTGTTTAAAGTCCCTTCTAAGCCTCTGAGAGGACATACTGGCACATGGAGGTGGATGACAGATAGACAGACTTGGTATGAGCATTTGGATCTACATAAAATTGCTGCTTCTGTATGCTATATTCGTGAATACATCATGATATGCATTTCTGTGTGACACACTTGGTGCTAACTATTAATGCTAGTGTAGGTTTGAAATATTGTGCATCATTCTCCAGGAAAGCAGTAACAATAGATTCAAAATTAGCATTACAGTGATCTAAAAATATCAGTATTCTATATAAGTCCTTCAGGCAATTACTCCAGCTTTCTGTTGTCCGCACTGCACCTGTGCTTAACTATGCTAAGTCCCACTATTAGAGTTTTGTGTCTTCAGGCACTCAGTGCAGTTAGGTAGAAGGCTGCTTATAACAAAGCCCCATTAACTCTCTAAAAAGTAAGCTATCTATCAATGAGACTTCCTGGAGTACATTACTTCTCCACCACAACACCCAGCTCCATACCACGCACTTTCCCAGCCTGCTCACAGTATTCCTGAGGGTTATCATCAGATCTCCTGAACAGAGAAAAACTAGAGAAGAAAGACGTTTGGTCCCACCCCCCCGCTTTACAGAACTGCACCAACCATCAGGTTTGCATTAAGGCTTGGAGGAGCTTGCAACATACAGTTTGTTCTAAATTGCTCCAATTCCTTTTTCTAGTATCTGGTTTCAATGCGATGCTTGAAGCAGCTGCTACTGGTCAAAAGGACATTTTGTAAATGTAAGTCTGGGATTATCTGTGCAAATAAGTGTCCAAATTTAAATCTTCTGTTTCCAACCACGGAGAAAATGACAGAGGCTGGTACTGAAAGGATTTCTTTGTGCAGAACAAATGGACTGGGGAGAATTTGTTTCCAACTTTGTTTTACTGGCGCCAAATCCAGAGAATTCACTAGCAACTGGGAACTTTAAAGAAAACTCAGATTCCCCCATTCTAAATTAAGAAAGAAATGCAACAATTCAGTGGGTGATTTGGAGCTGGGATAGCTCCTGGTATTTTGAGGAAGTGAAGAATAAAACTCGCTACTGTCTATGCTTTGTGGTTCTGAACTATTTGTTCCTTGCTTAACAAACAAGGCCAAAATTTTTAATCCTGGTTAATGGAGGTTAGGCTCCTCAGTCCACAGCAAGGAACCTGACAAGAAGCGGCTTGATGTAAAGGTAAATAGTTAAATTTGGCTGCCTCACTTGCATGTACAGATTGCCTGTCCACACGCACAGGATAGGTACTGGTTAATCACATTGTGCTCGCTCTGTTTTTACTCCAATTCAAATTTGATGTGTGCAACTAAAGGACTATGGGAGGATCCTGCAGGTGTTTATTGTGATGTGTGCAAGTGATCTCACTGAAAGCCAGTGAGATCACTTGCCTGCAGGAATTAAAGCAAGGATGTAAGTGTGTACAGGATTGGACCTACCACCCAAACTGACAGTAAACAGTTAATATAGGCCTCAATGGGTTTTATGTTCAGCACTTAGGCAGCTAGTTTTGAAAAGCTGATTCTTGAGAACCTAGCCTTTGGCACACAAACATGAACATTTGGACTGTTCTGCAGGCGTTATGGGGAGGGGGGAAGCCTAGATCAGAGCAATAGACCCTCTACATGCTGGGTCACTGAAGCATTGAGTCCACTATCCTATCTTTGCAGGTGACTGTGTCACAATCCCTTTCACAAACTGATCAAACTGTCTTCAGTAACAGATGTGTGCTTTATGTTTTGAACTTTAATGAATAGTTTCACATTTCTTATTCACTTGTCTATTATTAAATTTAACGTACTTCTGTATGTGTAGGAAACATGCAGCACTTGACAAATATTGGGTGCATCTGTGTGCTGTACTTTATGTAGAAAACATAATCCAAGAATGAGTGGGAGGGTGCAGTGAGTTTTCATATAGCTCTGGAAACTAGATCTCCAAAGCTTGCTGAGCTTACAATTAAAAATAAGATGGTTCATTTTCTCCTAGTTCCTGTTAGAAAACCACTACCCACTGTTGTATGACTGCCAATCTCTGCTCGGGAGTCGAGCAGACCTATGTTATTATGTGGTGTTCTTACTTCGGCAGGATGGAATCTCGCAGTATTTCCAGTACACGCCGTCCTCATGCTCTGCAATGTAGCACCATGGGCTGACATCTCCATCAGGGTTCCTATCAAAGGAAGGAGATGCAAAAAGATGTCAAACATTAACGTACTTGTGAGCCACATGACTCCCAAGTGTTGCATTAGATCTAAAGTTTCATCACCACTGTTACTTTAACTTGCATTGAGTGTTTCACCAGCTCTTATGACTGAGAAGAATGCAGAAGTGAGGCTACCGCACTGTAAACCCTCCTGCATTAGTTGTATCCTATGACAAACACTTGAATTAGATTGGCAGATCAGAAGAGGAACCGCAGGACTGCAGGTAGGGCATGTCTGCGTGGGAAACTTCCCATGCCAGTCAGTGATGCCATCAAACATACTGCACAGCCCCATGAGCTGACTCCCAAATTGGAAGCCCTGTAGCTATGTGCAGTGCTGCAAATGGACTAATTAACACTGCTGAATGAGCAAGTGCCAGTGCCATTTTGTCTGCCCCTGCAATAACTAGGCTGCCGTTGGTGTTCCATGAAGGTAGCTACATGTCATCCAGGTTGGGAGGCAGGTTACAAAGAGTGGAGAGGTATGTCTGAGGGTGCCAGTGCTGGACATGCTGTGCAGACATGGCTTTTGGTGCTGAAATTCTTCATCCAGCCTCAACACCGTGGCACAAATCATGGGAGCAGTCAGCACCCTTTCACTTCCAGTGCCAAACCACTGACCCCCACATGGTATCAGGCAGAGAAGTAAAATTCCTCACTGTTGTGGTCCTTATGCCTATGTTAGCTTAGATGACTTGCAGTTAATTCAGATGCAATTCCTAGGCACGGGGTGTTCTTCAAAAACAGGGTGAAGGTAAAAGGTAAGTCTAGGTTAGGGAGGTCCAGAGTCGGAAATGGACAGAGTGCTGCTGGTCAAGGACAAGGCAGCTAGAGATGACTGGCAGGGCTGAGGACACATGGCTGGAAGAGCAGGGTCTGCTGATGGTCAGGATTGGAGATACCTGGGAAGAGGTGCTGAAAGAGGAGGGCTCAGGACTATGGGAAAGCAAAGGTTAATATTTGATTGGGGCTAAGATATAGTGGAAGAAAGCAAGTGTGGTTCTAGGGGATGGAGGAAACCTGCCAGCACAGCAGCCTACCCTGTGGGAATATGGTTATTCCCTTCAGTTTGGCAGCTACAGAAACATTGCTGGTGTACCTGTTATAGGAAAATAAAATACTTTTAAGTACATCTCCATAAATTGTGATAATAAGGCTTCCTACATAAGCATCTTGAAATGCATGGGAATCATAGATGTGGCTAGCAGCTTTGGAAACTTTGTACTTGGCTTCTTGTAGCGGCTGCATGGAGACGAACAAGAAATGAGTCCTTCTGGGCTCCCAGTTCTGTTATGGCTGAGCTGAGGTTTTGCAAAATGTTTGAGAGATTTCCATGGTCATGAAGCCACTGTGCAATGAAATCTTTTTCTTTGTCTTAGTGGCTGCTTGTGTAAATGAATGGTTAGCATCGGACCTGACCACATATATCCTGTTCTCTTATCAGGTATCTGAGGGTTTTGCGTGCTTTGCTCTATGCATTGCAGGACAGCCATGTCTGAGGCAGAGGTGATGGGCAAAGCTGTTAGTAGGGGTGTAGTGAGTATGGCATAATAGGGCATCATCATTTAAGGCGTTTCTTTTCTCCTGTCACTGAGCATTGTGCTCCAGCTTTTCCATCGGCCTCTCACTGTTCATAGGTAGTCCGGAGCTCACCCAAGAGGTTCCCTCTCTTTGTGTATGTCGCAGAGACTGTCACGGTCCTCCGCACTGGTCTTGCTGAGCTGAGGGCTGCAAGAAAGGTGTTTGTGGGGGGAGGCCACATGGCTCCCTGCAGTCTGCCACTCTGTGATTTGTGAGCTTGGAGATGCCTGTGTTAATGGGCTTCCAGCACAATGTCGGGACGGACTATCCAGGTTTGACAGAGCGAGTCTCTCTCTCTCTCTTTGTATTTGCTTTTATTGCTGAGAGGGGCTGAGGTGATGTAAAATGAGTAACTGCATAATACAATCTAACATTACCATAATACACTTCACATCAATGGCAAGAGATCAGAGAACTTCAAAGGCACTGCTGGCAGCACAGCCACAGGCATATCTCCTTCCAGGTGTCCCTGCCAGGTGTTCCAGTCCTCTCTGTGCGTCACGAGGGCATGTTTCAGTGCCTTCCTGTGTGATGGTCTGTCCCACCCTTCTCCGTTCCCATCTTCCCCTGATCCTTCCTTCCACGGAATATCTCACCCCCTTCCTATATGATCCACCTTTTGCCCAGACACTTCCCCATTCAACGGTGAATGTTACTGAAGTGGAACAAAGCCAAAAAAGGGAAGGCACATTTTCAAACTACAATCTCATAACAATTCTCATTCACTGAAAACAATTCTGTGACTATTCAGTCTTCCTAAGCACTAGGGACAATGGTCCTGGGCATGGGAGAGCCAGAAGTATAGGCAAGGATGAAACCCATGCAAAATGTCCAAGCTCCTTGCCTCCGCGTACCCTCACTACGTCCCTTTCCTGCCAACTTCTTCAAATGCCTTTTAGGAAGAATACCAGTTGTTATCTGCTGTGCCAGGTGGGAGATTGGTTTGGTGACGTGGGCTTTGTTAAGATCTGAGGAGAACCAAGGTCTCAAGCTGCCTGTGGGCTGAGTGAGGTTAAAGGGATGTAGTTGCTGGTGTAAAGTTGTCTTTCTGATTGTCCCAGCTCTGACAGCCAAGGGACCCTCCAGCATGTCCCATCCACTTACCATTTTTGGTCAAGGGCTAATAAAACTTTGGGCTTAGAGGCCACCTTTACAGTGAGATATTTCTTACCTGCAGTAATTGTGCTCCCCAAGCCCTCCTTCTCCATTGGGGTATTTCAAGGTGTTGTAAGGGTGCTGGAAGGTCTCATTCCAAAAGAGACAAGGCTTCCCTGCATGTAGGGAGGTTTGGTTCTGCGTGCCCCGATAGTCTGCCCCATTGGCCGTGTAACATTCTGGAAAGTGGAGAGAAAGAGCGTGTCACTTTTCTGCAAAGGATCCCACTTTAAGTTCATTTAAACATTTTCTTCTAGCAGTTCATGCTGTAAAAGGCACTGTCCAAAATGTACATTTTTTGTCTTGCGTTACACTCCTCTTGATTGGTTCTTGTATTACTGGCTTCATTACTTGTATTAAATATTGTATACAACTTGTATTAGTATGCTTTGGAGAGTAAAACATAATAAGTAAGATTAAACCCACCAAATTTATTTATTTATTTATTTTGAGTGAGTATCAGCCCTCACTGCTAACACTGCAACATGCAAAATTAAATGAAACATTAGGGATCTCCTATTGATCAGTACACTCTATGGAATTTTGATTGCATCTTCATAGTTTCATAGTAGCTGGGGTCGGGAGGGCCCTAAACAGATCATCTCCCCCCCCCCCCTGCCACAGGCAGGAATGAAAGCTGGGTTCACATGAACCCAGACAGGTGATCGTGTAACCTCTTTTTGAATTTGCCCAAGGCAGGGCTGAGGACCGCTTCCCTGGGAAGTTGGTTCCAGATTTTGGCCACCCTAACTGTAACATATTGCCTTCTGATCTCTAACCTAAACCTATTCTCCATCAGCTTATTACCATTGTTGCTCGTCACTCCCGGTGGTGCTGAGAAGGGCTCTGCCTATTTGTTGTTGATCTCCCCTGATGAGTTTGTAGGCAGCCACCAGGTCCCCCCTCAGCCTCCTCTTGCCGAGGCTGAACAGGTTCAGGTCCCTCAGCCTCTCCACGTGGGGCCTGTCCTGTTGCCCTCTCGCCAAGCGGGTGGCCTCCTCTGGACCCTCTCCAGGCTGGCCACATCCCTCCTGAAGTGCGGCGCCCAGAACTGGACGCAGTACTCCAGCTGCGGCCTGACCAGCGCCACATAGAGGGGGAGGATCACCTCCTTGGACTTGCTTGAGATGCATCTTTGGATGCACGACAAGGTATGGCTGGCCTTGCTAGCCGTGGTCTGGCATTGGTGGCTCATGTTCATCTTGGAGTCAATAATGACTCCCAGATCCCTTTCCGCTTCTGTGCTTTCAAGAGGGAGCTCCCCAGCCTGTCTGTGTGCTGTGGATTCCTTCTCCACAGGTGCAGCACCCTGCATTTATCTACATTGAACCCCATCCTATTCTCATCTGCCCACTTTTGTAGTCTGTCTAAATCTATTTGCAGCCTCTCTCTCCCTTCAAGTGTGTCCACCTCGCCCCACATCTTAGTGTCAGCAGCAAACTTGGAGAGCTGCTTTCCACCCCCTTGTCCAAGTTGCTGATGAAGATGTTAAATGGTGCAGGCCTGAAGACCGAGCCCTGGGGGACCCCACTGCTCACATCTAGCCAGATTGAGTACGACCCATCCACCACTACTCTCTGGGTGCGCTCCGTCAGCCAATTTTTTACCCATCCAACTGTGCAGGCTTTAATGCCACAGTCGCTTAATTTATTGATGAGGATGGGGTGAGAGACAGTGTCAAAGGCCTTCTTAAAGTCTAGAAAGACTACGTCTATGGCGACACCATCATCCAAGGATTTAGTTACTTGGTCATAAAAGGCAACCAGGTTGGTCAGGCAGGACCTGCCTTTGATGAACCCATGCTGGTTGCCCCCGAGCATGATCTCCCCTGCTGCCCCCACAGATGTGCTCCTTGATGATCCTCTCCAAGAGCTTCCTAAGCACCGAGGTGAGGCTTACAGGCCTATAGTTACTTGGCCCTCCTTCCTCCCTGTCTTAAAATGGGGACCACATTAGCCAGTTTCCAATCCCCCGGCACCTGGCCAGATGACCACGAATGCTCATACAGCCGTGCCAAGGGCTCCGCAATGACGCCTGCCAGCTCCTGCAACACCCTTGAGGGGAGGACACCTGGATCTGCAGATTTAAAAATGTCCAGCCCTTCCAGAAGGTCCCTAACTACATCTGTGCTGACCCAAGGCCTCACAGAGCTATCCCCGAGATTGTCCCTACCTCTTGACCAAGCTCATGCATTTGATTGATCATACGTGTGAGCATGGAGGAGTCTCTGGAGCCAGTAGAAGCACCAAGGAGCATGCTAGCAGCTAGACGGGTAATGGAAGGGAGATGGGACAAGCAGCAGAGTGTGGGATGGACAGCTGAAGGCAGCTGAGCCAGGTTCCCATCAAATGCTAGTATCATCTCAAGAATCCTTTCAGGCAGCTTTGTTGCCTAAACAGTAGTTCAAATGCAGGTCTTGCAAATTTCTACCAACTGATGAAGAAACAGATTCTGCTGGGAGAATGTCTACGTCTGGCTGGTGTTTGCATGGTGCTGGGGTACACAGGGGCCACTACGTGCTGGCAGCCCGTTTCACCTCCAAAGCTCCCGACTCATTTGTCTGCCTCAGCCATGCAATGTACTTGCACTTGGCCTTGGTTTTTACCTTGCCGTTATTCAGTCAAGCAGATGTTGGTGAACAGCAGGAATCAGTGACAGCCTTACACCCAAGGCGTCCATTTCATTACAAAGCATCCAGATTGAATGAGAGCTCACACGCCGATATAATGGTACCACAGGCTGGCAGTGCAATGCTCTTTTTCTATATCTATCTGTTGTTCTCAAGGTACAGCCATTATTAGTAGTGCACCCCCAAAATCAAAATGCTAATGAATAAATATAGTAACTCATAACATTTCCCATCTACTTACATACTTCAAAAATATATGAAGTTGAGCTCATCTTTAAATACATAATAACCACACCTAGCACATCCATAATAAGGAATGGCCTTTCAATACTCAAGCCATTATTTTTCTTTCCCATTCCTTATGTAAGCTAACGTTTTATTCCTCTTCAAATTGCTACTGGACCTTGCAGAAAGGTTCTCACTGAGGGGTCCACACCCACCCTAGTTCTTTCCTTTAGTGCTTACAGTGCATTAAAATGCAGTCGGGCAAGCCGAACGCTCATGTAATTCCAACCATTGCACGTTATCTTAGTAGAACTCTCCAGTCTTCTCAAAGCTTCTCCTCCTTTTTATTTGGCTGCCTTAGGGTTTGGTTTCTTTTCAGTGAACAGATAGGAAAATCCTGAACTGAGTCTTGATGCACCATACTATTAACATCTGTCCCTTCTGAAAACGGATCCTAATTTCTTAATCATTGTTTCTTATTTCTTAGCTGATTTCTAGAAGATGCCAGCGAACCACTCAGTGAAGTGATCTAATAACTTCTTAAGAGGAACTTTTTGTTAATATGTTAATAGGGTATCCCTTATGCTTAGGCTTGGCAGAATTCAATTTTTATTTTTTAATAATATTGACATATAATATTGATTGTTTACTTTAGTCATTTATTTCTATTTTTATCAATTTAAATTTCAGGATTGCACAAAATTAGAGGTGTGGGGGGCAGACTATGTATTAATGAGAAACGTAACTACTACAGGACTACAGCCGGCTGAGCAGCAGAGCTGCCGTCAGTCCCCGCTCCACTCATCTGTAGCTCCCTCATTGGTTTGTCACTGCCTCTTCCTTTAATCCCAGTCCTCTGGGGTTTCCGGGAGTTGCAGTCCAAACTACTGCTCTCTCTATTGTCACACACTTCATCAGCCATCATTTTTCTTACATTCCCTTTTCATAATTTTTGCTTTTTAATGCTGGAAATGTGTTTTCTTTGGTCTGCGAGTGTGAGGTGAAACCGACATTTACCAATAAAAATGGACTCCCGCCAAGCCTACTTATGCTTTACGAGGATCCTAGGGAAGTAGGGCTAGAAGGGACTCCACAAGGTCATGTAGGCAGGCTCATCCCTGACTAAACCAGCCCAGACAAATGTCTGTGCAACAGAGTCTTTCAAACTTCCAAGGATGGAGATTTCACAGCTCCTCGACGCAGCCTGTTCCAATGCTTGACCACTCTCACAGTCAGAAAGTTCCTCCTCATCTCCAACCGAAATATCTCCTGCCGAAGTTTGAGACCATTGCTCCTAGACCTCTCCCCTAAAGTCACAGTGAAAAGCCTTTCTTCTCTATAATCACCCTTCAGGTTTTTTGAAGGCTGCAATCACCTCTCCCCTCAGTCTTCTCTTCTCCAAACTAAACAACCCTAGTGCTTTCAGTCTTGCCTCATAAGTCTAGCTTACCAGGCCCCTCATAATTTTTGTTGCTGTGTGCTGGACTCTATCCAAACTGTCCACATCCTTCCTGAAGTGTGGGGCCCAAAACTAGACACAGTCCTCCAGGTGAGGCCTCACCAGTGCTGGTTAATTATAGACCATTTTTCCAGTCTGTCCAGGCCATTCTGGATCCTAGCTCTACTCTCTGGCGTGTCTGCAACTCCACACAATTTGGTGTCCATTGGTCTTCTCCACACCATCCACAACTAGATTGCCTTCTCCGTTCCATAAGAGGTGTATGGTTTCTCTGCTGTTCCTCTTACTTTTGACATATTTGTAGAATCCTTTTGTATTGCCTTGTATGTCCCTTGCCAGCTGCATCTCAAATTGTGCCTCGGCCTTCCTAATTTTCTCCCTGCATGTCCATGTAATGCTCTTATACTCTTCACTAGTACCATGACCAAGTTTCTACTTTTTACAGGATTCCTTTTTGAGTTTCAACTCATTGAAGAGATTGATGTCTAAGTAGGCTGGCCTCCTGTTACACTTCCTTGTTCTTCCATCACATTGGTATAGCTTGCTCTTGTACCCTTAACCAGGTTTCCTTAAAGTACAGCCAGCTCTCCTGGACTCCTTTTTGCCTCTGACTTTCCTCCTGGGGTTCCTGCCCCCCAGCTCCCTGAGTCTGCTAACGTTTGATTTTTCTGAAGTCCAGTGTCCTTATCCTGGTGCTCACCTTGCTTCCTCCCTTTAGGAGCTTGAACTCCATCATTTCATGGTCACTGTCACTCAAGTTGCTTTCCACCTGCACGTTCTTGATCAATTCCTCCCTGTTTGTCAGCAATAAGTCACGAAGCGCTGCCCCCCTTGTTGGCATTTCCACCTGTGCCAAAAAGTTATTCCTAACACGCTTCAAGA